GTACATTGTATGAGAGAATTGAAGGGAAAACGCAAATGAATCTGAGAACTATATATTCCTATGGCGATTTGTTTCGTATAGACATTATTCCAAAATTAGCTGATGTTACAGATAAATTATTTATGCTTTGGATAAGATGCCATACCTGGATGTCTCCATACTTTTTTCGAGTAGCCTTGCATCGTCTGTTTCAATACTTCGGCTAATGAAGTCGTGGATATCGGTTTCTATTGATTGCGACTTGAAGTAGACTGGTTGAGTAGCTACACCGCAAGACACGTACGTATGTTGCAGGGTATTCACCCCGAGATCCTGAGAATGTGTGATGGGATTCATTCCAGATGAAGAGATTTCATCATGAAATTCTAAATTAGTTAGTTTTGGAATCTAGACACCGCGGTTTTGGTCAAGGTCCCAAGCAAGCTGTGTTCAAGAACCTGAGACTGGTTTGAAGCTCCTGGTTCGCCTATGCACTGCCCTAGCTTTACTTTTCTTTCTTTTTATGTGCTGTGAGATTACTATTGCAATTCTGACGCTTACTCTCAGTGGTTGCTCATTTGTATCATTTGTTGAGGGCCATTTGTCTAGACTGTCGACCTCGAAAAAACTGCGAGAAGTCCCTTTTTTGGCTGATATCTAAGTTTTGGGAAGTGCTATAAATGGTCTAGTGCAGTAAGGCAGTTGACTGGGTGAGATACAACTTAGGAGCTCCGAAACCCTTTCAAGTTCTAGGATAAGCCAATCGAATACAGCAGCTCTTCTATAGTAATCCTGCTCGCATTTTTGTTTTCCGGCATACAGGCAGTAAACTCCTTCCGAAACTCTCTCATTGTGGTCATGGTTATGATTGACCTTGCAAGAACCATGAGGTGCATGAGTCATTAAAGAAATATCTAGCACCTTCATCGTTTTCTGCGGGATCGGATCCGTTTCCATAGATTGTGTCATCACATGCAGCATTGTTGTAAGGATTTCTTTGTCCTGAAACAAAGTGTGACGATGGTTTTTTTCGGAGCACTATCGATCATTCAGGACTAGCAATTACCGTCATTTCAGCGACACTTTTGTTACCGATGCTTTCTGAACGATTCCTCTTTTTCGTTCTTTTTCTAGAACAGATTAGCGAAGGTTCCTCTGAGTCGATATCTTCGAAAAGGCTACGATTTGCCTGAAAGAGTCTGATTTGAATGAGTATTCAGTGATGTTGTCTTGAATGCAATTGAGGTTTGGTCGCCACTGCCGGTATACTTTCTTCGGTTTTATGGGTTCGATCTTCAAAACGGGAAATCCCGTTTAGAAAAGATATCCAACGGTGGAGTTGAATCTATTGGGGTGTAAATCATAAATTTGAGAGGCGATACCTGAAGAGCGGCCAATCGTAGAACAATCTCATCGATTTGGAACTGCGATATGTCGGTTTGGACATGAGAATCAACGGTGTGCACGTCTTCACTCACGAACGAGGCACTTCCACTGCTGAAGCAATTGAAACTCATATGAAAAAGCGCAATACAATTGACGAAATAAGCAATAGTTAACGGGAATAGGTGGCACGGCGTTCCAGTTTTATCAAATACAACTAGTTCTGAAAATCCTTATCACAGCTTCCGCTTGTTTCGAACGGCTTAGAAATTTCGAGAAAAAATTTAGCGAAGTCTCGAGACCCCTTCATTGTTACCGTTGCAGAATCCTTCTCACAGCAACTGCATGGGTTTTGCTACAGCTGTTGTGAAAGGTGACAGATAAAATAAATACCTCGAAGAATCCTCGCGACTCAGTTCCGTATCGGGAGAGAACGCAACTTTTTTGCCATTATTTTCCTTGAGTTTGGTTTTCGGATAACTGAAATACATATGTATTTATCAGAGCCATTCCTTAAGCCCCAGAAATTGGATGCAGCAGCTGACTGCCTCGTATTTGGGCTCATGAATATTCGGAATATTAACGTTCTAAACACAAAGCTAACCGTACCACGGTACATCTAGCTTTATGTTGGTCAGACTCACGAAATCCGTTCTATTCATTGATGAACGGGACTTTTTTGTAATATAAAATCACTACCTTATTGAATCCAGCGGCAGGCTGGTGGCATCGGACATCGAGTCACGATCGTCATCATCGAAAGCGTGCTGGAGAGGCTCCTGTTGAATCAGCGAAGGTTGCCTAGAACAAGGGGATATATTAATATAGTTCACAGTTGAAATTGTTGAAATGAGGGGTTGTTGCGCAAATGACACCTCCGCAATGGTCAGGACGGCTATACCAGGAGGAACTCTGGGTGACGTTATTCTCGGGTGACGGACTTCTTACCGAATTCCCACGGTCGCACACCCGCGAGAAGTAATGGTTTCGCGGCAATCACAGAAACCGTCCGAGAAATTTTCAATTCTCATCCTTATACTGTGTGCTACAACACGCAACGAGTGTGGCCCGTCGCTCGGGTGGAAGATCCCACACTCGTAAAAAGTAGAGGGCGTTCAGTGACAAGAAGGTGTAAGAGTCCAGGTGTAATCTTAAGAACAACGGGAGTCGCTCACTTACTTCGACCACTGGGTTTCTCCATTTACTTGAACGACTACATCGGATATTGACATTGGATCACAAGCCATACTCTGTAATAAATCAGTACTCTGAAAACGGTAGAAAAGGCACTGGCAATTGACCCGTATAGGACCCACATTCCCTAGGTTGTCAATCTGTGTTGCAGCTCCGTAAACAGTCGGCATTTCGGTTTGAATATTTTTGTTGTTTGTGACTCGAATAATTCGTTCGAATTGCTCGGCCTAAAATTGGAATTTCGTTGAGAAGGGGAAGATTTTCCTTGGGAGACCATTTTGAAAAGGGTCATTGGTTTTAACATGATACATGGATGTCAATGTGAGAATAAATATTTGAATCGAATTTAAATTCTCTTAAGATTCTCAATCCTTACTGTATCCTCGATCTTCTCTTTCTGCTCTTCAGACATCAATTCCCCTCCGAAAAGTTTCATGAAAAGTGGCTGTTTCTCCATTGCCTTCTTTCGGATTTCCTCATGATCAAAGGGCATTCCAGTGGCCAGTTTCCGGTGGTACTCTTCCTGAAATTTCATTTGAAATTAATGATGAGCTGTTATCCGGCTCAAAAGCATCTTTAACGAACCTGCATTCTAATCATGAAGTTGTACAAGCATTCTTCGAATTTTATTTGAATTACAGTAAGCAGCATAGAAACGATTGATAGTCCAATAATCACTAACCAAAACATCAATATTAACATGTGGGGATGATCGGGAACAACGTCGCCTATAAAATAGTATAGTTCTATCTCGTAGTACTGAGTTCTTCTGAAGTTTCACTTAGACTGGAACTATCCAAAACGGTCTGATGATTTCGAAATACTTGAAAAATCGAAGAGAAAAGCATTGCTGAGAATTTTTTTAACTGTTTGTGGGAAAACACTTATTGTTTGCTCTTGGAATAATTCTGATAGATGGTATTTTTTAATGTTTTGGACTCGTTCTACATGATGCTTTGTTCACTAATCAATCGATCAACAAGTCAATCAATCAATCAATATATCGGGACGTCCAAATACAATTTTGCCTTCTGTGACTTCCTTAATAAGATTTTGGTACAGTTTTGTGACGAAATTAAGAAGAACCATCGCGATTTGAGACCCAATTTGTTCAGTTTCTGCTTCATTACCATCGTTTTGTATCCCCTTCAGGTGCAACCTTCACTGCCTTATTCTAAAGAGTCTTATATGTCCTAATTGGGTCTTTGATGATGTCTACTCATTCGTAAGCATGGAACTTTTCTACTTCAAATCGAATCATTCAAGTATCTAAGTATGTTCAGATAGAGCTCACTTTAGATGAGCATTAAAGTGGAAAAGAAGTTCACCTCAAGACAGTTGCAAGAGTTGTTTTTGAGATATGACAACTCATGAGCTTTTCAAAGCCTACTACAGGGGTCCAACCTCCTACCGGATCGAGCGGATAAAACTCGAGCAGACCATAACGTTTCAAGGCTCAATTGTGTTCATTTGTATGCTACCTTGTATGAGAAGATCAACGATCTTGTTTGTCTTCAGACGTAAATCTGGAAGCTTACCCAAACCGATCGTAGAAAGTGAAATGAAGAAGAAGTAGAGACTCGTAAAAAACGTCCATCGTTTTTCCCATATAAGGAACAGAGCCGCACAAGCGCATATCCAACTGATACAGAATAACAGTGCAAGCCAGATCGGTATAGTCCTGAAGAGAGATTCGAATGGGAACGACTACACAGTGAACTCTATTGAGGAGAGCTTTTATCCCTACGAGTATCGTATATCAGTTTGGAGACATGTGATAATCGCACGAATGTTGGAAATCGAGTTAATTCGACTATTCCGTCAATTACCAGTTAGTCTACCAAAGGACTGTCTGGTACGACAAAGCTTTCAACATGTGTTCGACAAACGGGCTGTTGCGTACACCATGCGTTCATGCGTTGCGCACGACATGCGTTCAAGTCGAAGTCATGGCGCGCTCTCAAAATATCGGCGAATTTTTCGGCTCGCTCTATTGCCATGTAAAGGGAGATATGAGTGGTAGACATCTGTCGCAAAATGGTATTGACCGAACTTTTGCTTTAGTGCGTTCTCTCGCTTAAAATGTTGCCACTCCGGTTCGTCTTTGACGCTATTTATTTGATTCCGTTCAACTCCCTCGTTCATCTCCCTTTGTTTCTCATTGGAGTGAGTTTTCGAGTTATTCGAAGTAGTGGGAAGAGCGAGAACTCAGTTTTCGAAGATTTCTTAATGACGAAAAGTCTACCTTGAGTCTTCTATCAAATGATCCTCGAGAAAGTCTGACTTTTCTTCGGTGACATGCTTTCCTTCTTCGAGATCGTTGAGCGATGCACTGAAATTTTCAGAATTTTTAGTATCGAAGCATTGACGCAAAATATGTTATTCAAACGTACTGGGATGTGCAACACTACCTTTGCTCCGCTGTTAGATATTTTTTCGTTTTTTTGTGAGCACGTTTGAATTTCTCACGGTGTTTCAGCCACGCTCGAGTAATCGTATGCTCCAGGAATTGACCAAATCGCGAAAGTATCGCCAATACCAATGGAATACCTGAGCGGAGTTCAGTAAGTCAAAAATTCTTTCCCGGCTTTTACCTTATTTTTTGGAATTTGTTCAATTTGGTTGTTGTCTTGAGTTCTATGACCTTTTCTCGTTGACTATGCATAGTCCACATTCGATAACGGTAAGTCATTATTGGAATTTCTATTGTTATTCAAAATTTTCATTTACTTAACGATGAATTAATGATGAATTATGTAATAAGTGTAAAGAAGTGAAAAGCAATCGATAACAGAAGTAATCTTTCAAAGGTGGTCAGTGTTTGAAGTCGGGGGCCCCTGAGTGTCCTAAAACTGAATGAGTCCATAGTTCTCACCACAACCTTCTTTCTTTTGTTTTCCATTTGATTCGCTATGTTCAATTTCTCATTGCTCTTATTCTCAGGCCCACAAGTAAGTCTCGATGAACTGTTTATCGCAGGAATGTTTTCTTTTTTCTGGGAGTATTGGAGAAGTCAAAATTACATTATAGCGCCAGCGAAGCAAACATTGAAAAGTTGAGTGCGCTAATTTGAAAAATGATCGTAGTAGATTGAACTCTGGAGCGGAGGTTAGCATTGTTGTTTTTTTCTTTTTTGTTTTGAACCACAGATTTGTCTAGATTTCATGACGTCAGTCGAAGCAATCATCGAAAGCTTATCTCCTGAAGCGATAAGGAAGTATTGAATTTCAAGTCGAATGTATCCGATGTCATCCTTCTCACATAACTACATAAAAACGGTGTCTGCAAGAAGACAGAGCTCATAAACCATGGCTTACTTCCGAACTCAAGACCTACTTCTGGATTTGGTCAGCTGCTTCCTGATTCCGTTAATAAGGAATTGAATGGGTAAAAGGTGTTCTTCTATGCTTCTCGTCCCAATCTTGCTTCTCAGCTCCCCTTCCCAAAACCCAATTCCTCATGGCTACCTTTTTTCTGATGGTGTATCCAACTACCCTGTGCTGATGGGAGACTGTCAGATATAAGTTTGGCTGTGGTAAGGGAATACTTTGGGGAAAATTGATACCTTTTATGTATATCTAATAATAAAAATACCTATAAATTTAATTTTAAAAAAATAATAAAAAATAAATATAAATAATAATAATAAATGTCAGCTTACATGTTTTTTTGGGTTATGCAAAAATAGGTCAACAAATAAATCAATAAATAAGTAAATAAATAAACCAGTAATCATAGAATTAAGTGAAGCAACATACGACACAAAAACAGTGATAAACAATCTCACCGATCATGGCGTACACCACGGATAATGCTCGTCCAGTTATTGTCCGAGGAACGATGTTACCGTATCCTTTAATTGAAGGTGTTAGTGCTAAATCATGGAGAACTTTTGAGAGTCTCACCGATTGTTGTAAATATCGTTCCCACATAGAACAGCGCTCCCCACATGTCCCACTCTAGGGCCTCTGGTAGTTTGACCTTTTCCAGTTCCTTCTCGTACCACAGCAGCAAATCCCTTAATAGCGATAGGCTTATCGGGCATGGTTCAGAACAACAAATCGTGGTAGTACCTCGATCTTGCAGCGCGTTCATTCCGCCGTTTGGTCTGGAATAGGTCGAGAAAACGTAGAAAGGAATGATGTCGCAATCGATCCAGATCCTTCGATTCCTTTCTGCAGTAAATTATGTGACAGTAAAATGACTGCACTTTGATAAGCTTGTCTGGTCCTAGGACCGCTGCTTTGGTCCTTGCAGGTTCGGGCGCAGACGATCTTTTCTATTGAAAATGTCTTCAAGCCAAAAGTTTCTTGGGATGATGAAAGCACAGAAAGCCGTTGCTTCAAATGCGTTTTCTCCACCCTTTTTTCGTTATTGCTCAGAAGTGGCCTTTAATTTTTAACTTGACAGGCGCTTCATGGGTTCCACGAACTAGGATGTGATTCCTCTGAATACAAATGATTCTAGCATATTTTTTGAAAAAGTAGCCAAAATGGGATTCACTCACTAGCTTAGGCTCGGATAGACTAAAGATTAGGTGGGATGCATAAGGTACTTCTGATTGGGAGTCACTTGATGATATCGTTATCACAGTAAAATAGTTTGCTTACAATTTCATTTCCACCTCATTCTCATATTCGACGAGGTAGAAAATCCAAGCGCCAAGTAGAGAATAGATGAACAACAAGAGAAATGGTGCAAAATATCGACAGTTGTAGCGATCATAGTAGTATTTGGCCTGAAAAGGTTTCACATTTCTCAGGAGATACATGCTTACTGATCACCAGAATAGAAAAAAATTCGAAGGAGCTCCTCAGGTGCGCTTGTAACATTGTAAACAGTGGAAACAGTAGGGGAGGGGGGGGGGGGGGGGGGGGGG